GGTGGGCAAGTGACTGAAGCTGAACTGTCAGATTAGGACTAATAATATTGCAGATTCTTCTTTGGATCTTATCAAGAGGCTCAAAAGTAAATAGCAGCAGTACTGAACCATATGATGTACTCTCTCGTCGTATTCGACGTATGAGGGCCAAGCAGCTCAGTTGCTAGGAACCAACAGCCCAGACACTAGCACATATTTGATTATAGTGGTGAAGTGTTATGGAGTGATTTCACAGTGGAGGCTTGTATTTGTACTAAGTCGGTCCTAAAACAGGTTCGACGTATAAAACGTTAGGAACTTCATATAATAGGTATGACGCAGTAATCTAGTTGTGGTCGCTGATACTTTTAGTATCCGACTAACGGTCGTCCGACATCAACTGACTGACGAACTCACTGAGCGACTTAATTGTTACTCTTACTACTCCTACTTATTATAGGTGGGAGAGTCTATTAACTATAGAATAGGGGTGTTCCGCTATAATATGAAGGCTTTGTGCAGAACCAACCAGACTTTTTGAAAGGGCGAATACAGTGACCTTGTACACTACGTGCCATAAGGTCCCCAAAAGACTGTCAGCAGGTTTTGAATTCAGAGTTGTCCTTCTCCTAGACCAGTTGCCATCCACGGCTAAAGATCTCAGTCTGTCCTGCTATTTACCCATAGCTGAAGGGAGAAGAAGAGGATTAATACCTTTGTCAAGGGTATTATTAGCAAATGGAAGTGAATATAATGGATTCGACTGGAATTTGAACTCGGCTCTCCGATTCTTCAACCCGAGTCGCTATCCACTACCCTACTGTGCCTCACTGGACGAGATATGGCAGCAATGCGGATTATTGCCCTCATCTTTGTTGTTGTTATCACAATGTTTCGGTCGTTGCCCCTTCCGGTCTATCGATCTCGGTAAGTTACAAGGAATTCCGAATTGAACCCTTTATTTAATCAACGAAATCGTTCGTTCTCGTTCCACTGCCCATGTTTAGGGATATCTCTTTTTGTTCTTATTTTTAATACTGCTCGGTTATTGCTCTCTTGAACTCACAATAACTCTGCCATCAACTTCACGAACGAACACTTTAATCCACTAGACTATTGCCCCTTGTTTATTTTATGAAAAGGTTCCGATGTATAGAATTAATACCGGGCAGTGATCTATAGATGTTTCGGCTATAAATAACCCGGCAAAGGTTGATAAACCATAAATTACAAATCATTGTGTCTGTAACAAGCTATCTCGCTCTTCCTCTCTGTCTGTCTCTCTCTTTCTCTCTCTCTCTCTCTCTCTATACACATATATATATAAATGCATGTTTTAATATAGACAAGTTTTGTCTATTTATTTTAAGTAAATTCCTTTCATATTGTCGAATAAGCTTTATATAATTTTATATTTAATTTATTGTAATGTACTTGTAATCTCTGATGATGGCTTATGTAGGCCGAAAGCTTAGACAGGATTAACAATAAAAACATGTATCAACATAATGATTTTCTTTCGTGTTTCAAAGATAATACCAAAAAGCTTATTCGACAATATGAAAGGAATTTACTTAAAATAAATAGAAAAAAACGTGTCTATATTATTTAATGAAACATGCATTAATGAAAAAATGTTGCCTAAATAAACACACTTTATATATATATTATAGACATTTTTTATGTTTAAAATTCTTTTTACAGATACAAGTATTTTAGTAAATGCTCTGTTTATAATAAACAGTATTAAATAACATTTACCGGCCTGAATGTCCGAGAAATGTTCATAGAAAATATTCGGCCTTTGACAGGATTCGAACCTGCATCCTATACGGAACCGTCATTTAGCGTGACGTGCCTAACCGCTCGGCCACAAAGGATCGCTCGGTTGGCAAGGTCGAATTTACTGCTTATAAACTTCATGTGTATGCTTGTCGAGCATTAATCTCGACAAGCATACACATAAAAATTTTAGATCCTAATAGAATTCTTTTCATTTTCTTTTTCATTCAAAATAATCAAAAAATTTTAGGAATACGTTTTGAAAGCGTCGCCCATGTGACGACAACGTGACCATGCTAAACGGAAAGCTGATCATTTTAAAAATTTTCAGTTATCTGTTTTGGATAAGACTTGTTGTTTATGTCCATCGTCTTTGTCAAATTGAACTGAATTGTATTTTAATGAATATTGTCCTGAAGAAGGTTTATTAAACCGAAACGTCAGACGTCTAGATTTCATTCATTTTAAACAACATAATTGCATTTAAGGATTTTTGTTTGTTTTTTCCAAATTTTTCTTCATTCTGTCGGATCTATATCCATTTACATTTGCTTACATATATATATATATATATATATATATATATATATACCGCGTGTAACAGCAAAATTGTCCAAATCATGTAACAGAGTGGGATAACTACACTAATTGAGTTTCTTTTTTCTAGGTTTTCAGATAAGACGTTTAGCCATTTTGACGCCATTTGTCGTAAAAATCAGTGAAAGCCCCTTTCAGTTATTCAGCTAGAAAGCGAATAAGTTAAAATCGTTTTGTGCCAGTCCCATTGTGTCTTCCCAACTGAGCAATGGTGAGAGGAAAATAATCATTCAGGCATTCAGTAATGCTACCAACATTCGTACTCTGACTTCCATCTTCAAATTCCATTCAAAAACCATCAAGAGAACGGTTTAAAAGTTTAAAAAAGACGGAACAGTAGAGAGGATCTGGATCAGGAGGTCAAAAAAGGAAGAGGGACCATCTTTTCATCTAAGAGCTAAATACATTCTTATTCTTCAACTTAGAGTACAATAGTGTTATAAAAACTTCGGAGAATTCCAGTAAGATATCTTTAATAATTTTTAAGATACAACAGTTCAAAGGTTAATCTAACAATTGGACAATTTTGCTATTACACCACGTATCTATCTATCTATCTATCTATCTATCTATCTATCTATCTTTATATATCAGATTCCCTTTCTCTCTATCTCATTTTATTTCAATCTATCTGTTATGATCCGGTTCCTTGTAACACGGTGATAGTCCAAGGTAGAACGTCGTTCATTTTCTGAGCGATGGTTCACTTCAACTCTCTGTCTACCGACGGAGAGGAACCCGAAGGAGGCTACGCCGAAGGGCGGAGTCTCTTGCGGGGAGGTAAAAGCGGCCCTGAACCCGTTTATACGGGTTCAAATGGGCTATTTTGGGGCCGAGCCTAATGGCTCGGAAATGCCCACGTTAAAAAGGCCTTGTGCCACATGACGCCCTCGTGGGGGGACGACTAAATATAGTCCAAGGTAGAACCAATAAGAAAGACCTCGAATACGGATATGGAATAACACAGATATCTTACAAACAGGAATATTTACAGAGAAGTAGAAAGTGTTAGTACGAACAATCAGGTTTAGTAGTACTTGTCTGAACGCGACTCTGTTTCGGACTGCCTCTGACTCGACTGACTGACTGACTCGCTCCTGACGGACCTCACTCCAGACTTCAGACTGAATTCAGACTTCAGACGGAACTCCCTGCTTCCTCTTGAGACGCAGTATTTATTACGTATGGACTAGTCCATTATGTTATTATGGGTAAGGTCCCATAACACTATCTATCTATCTATCTATCTATCTATCTATCTATCTATCTATCTATCTATCTATCTATAAAGTAACATAATTCATCAAAATATTTAGAAACCAACCAAATCAATGTTAAATACTAAAGAACCAAGTCTTAATTTACTTTATCATCGATTTTGTTTGGCTTTCCTTTCTCTCTACTTTATATTCACATTTATTCCGATGAGACATAAAGATTTTAATAAGTGAAATGTTCGCCATTGTGTCCTGCATGAATTTATAACGACTGCAATACGGGACAGAAAACGAAGATTTATTCAACTGTGTATCCGGGAGCAGTGATTATGCGTCTCCTGCCAGAGATTTGTTCAGCAACTTTAAGAAGAGTGGCTGTGACATTTTCTGATAAGCGTCAATCGTGAAGACTAATCACTGTGGATAATAATCATTCGATGGCATCTGTTGAAGCAGATCAAACATCAAACGGACAGAGATTAAACAAAAACACATAATGCATTTATGTTCAATGATACATGAACATCTCAAGTTAAAACGGTAAAGGATCTCAGTGTGGAAATCAAGTTCTCCATTAGCGGAGTGCACAGTTCAAGTATTTGCAGCAAATTGCTAACCAAGAATAAAAAAAAAATCTTTTTTTTATTACCGGATTATTGCTAATGATCGAAACTGTGTCCCTTATGCCAATAACAAACAGCTATCTGCGCCATTTACATTCAAACTAATCTCCTTATCTTTGTTTTTGTTATCACAACGTTTCAACCGTTGTTTTCTCCGGCCTTCGATATCAGTGTCAGCTAATAGATATCTTGTTAAATGGACAACGTCTGAGCTGTCATAAAATATATATATATATTTGCCCGGGTGACTATCGGCTAAGTGGAATGGACTTCACAAGGACAATGACAAACGACTCGGACAAAAAAGGTGACTTAATTAATTTTTAGGCAAAGATAACAAGACAAAAAACAATGCACTCTATAAGACAGTGGTCACTACCTGCGAAAAAACGAGAATCACGCAAAGTGACTCGGCGTGATGAGAAGATCGTCTCTCAACGTCGAGAAAGGGAAGACACCCGTTAGACCGTTCACCTTCTTCTCACTTACGCTTCATCTCCGCTTCGTTCGTCTATAGCAGTAGGTTACAACCCGAAAATAAAATCTGATTACTTCTACAAATTCTAATGGCTTTAATTCGTGGGTGATGAATTGGACAAAGGGTCATTTTTAAGCTAAGCGCTTGACTGGAATAAGCTTCGCCCTGAAAACGAACCTGGTTTCTGGTCTGAGATGCAACGCCGTACTTGTTCAGGCTCTTGTAAATCCGAGTAACCCTCAGAAAAAACATGAATTCTTACTTTTCTCAAGGGTATTGTTGCGAAAGTGAAGGCAACACTCCATACCGACATTTTAACATGCT